ATTGTGCCTTCCCGAGAGCGGCAGGAGCCTGGCAGCGAGGCTCCCCCAGCTGACCCCTGCATGCAAGGACTAACTCCCCAGTGCTTGCCGGTGTGTGCACGGGGACAGAGCTGTCGCCCCATGTGAGCCGCAAGCCCCTTGCTGGAGCCTGCTCCGCAGGACAGCGTGCATGGCCCCGGCTGCAAATGCAGCGTGGGACCCTGGAGAGCCACGGCCCGTGGCTGGAGCCAGCGTAGCACCGGCAGCGGAAAGGGTGGGTGCTTGGGGAGATGCTCTGTCCCCCTTCCCACAGCCCCTGGCAGTGGTACGCTTGCCCCGTCCTGCATCCTGCACAGCAGCATCTCCTGGAGGGCTTTGGCATAACCATGGCAACTGCCAGGTAATTAATAGACAAGTCTCAATGCCATGGAGACAAAACAGGCACAAACAGAGCGTGCTGGGCGCGGGGCTGCGTGCCTGCCCAGCCACACGTGGAGGGCCCCGGTGCAGGATGCGGCCCCTGGGCACACTGTGTGCAGCTGGTGCTGCGTCCACCCAGCCGGCACCGAAATGGGCTCCGTTCCCCCCCGTGGCAAGGACGTCCCCTCGTCACCCTGCTGCGAGGGTGGCACGTGGCAGCCAGCGTCCCCTGGGCAGGACGGGGCTCTGCACGTGCCGGGCATGGAGAGGCAGCCCCGAGCTCCTCGTAGCGTTCGTACGCAGGATGGCTGCCAGCCTGTGACACAAAAGCAGGACTGTCCGTTGGGTGCCTGGTGGCTTAAAGACTTCCTTTGGAGAATGACTGAGAAGAGTTTTGGCGGAGAAGGGGGATGCGAGGATGACATTTTAATGCAGAAGATGCTCCCGTTAGGCTAAAAGCTGCTTCAGAGATTTCTTTCAGGCTAACTTGTTCCCCAGGAGTTTGTGGGCTTTGCAGAGGGTGATGGGCACGACAGTCCTGGGCTCAGCAATAAGACAGCCCCGAGCACTCGCAGCATCGCAGCCTGGCAGGGCTGGAAGCTGGTTTTGGATGGCCTTGCTGGGTACCCGGTGCTGTGTAGCTCCAGCTGTGTGCACGTCCTCCAGGTGTTCACGCTCATGCCCTAAAGCCCGGGGGAGCTGTACGAGACTCCCCAGGGAGCCGGGGCTCACCCCCGGCTTTGCCTGTGCAGAAATGTTTGTGCCTTCCCCTGCTCAGGGGCCGTCCCACACCTCCACGGGGCACAAGTCGCAGCCTCTCCTGCCTTTTTGCACGAGCACCCGATTAATAAATGCAGGAATGCCTATTTATTTTGTGCGTAAGTGGCCAATTATTTGATGCATGAGCACCCCATCGGTTCACTCACGAGCACCCAGCTAATTGCATGAGGGGTGAAATAGTGCAAACCTGAGCACCCAGTGAGTGCACGTGTGAGCACCCCATTAATGTCCTTGGGTGCCTGGTTGGTGTGGGTGCGTGCCCGGCTAGCTCTGGTATGAACCCCCGTTTACTCAGGAGTCCAGTGCTGGGCAGAAAGGGCAGGGGAGGCCTGAGCCTGGGGACAGGGGAGGCATTTCCCCAAATACCTTTCAATTATTTACATTTTCTGCCGCCTCAACACCCGTACCAAGGATGAGAAGCTTGTGTTAATTGCAATAAATTAAAATAAGTCAAACTTCCCCCAGTTGAGACTGTTTTGCCCCGGTCCCCCTCCTTGTCCAAAGGGTCGGGAGGGCCGGATCCGGCCCCGCTCCGGGAGCAGGGGCAGCCAGCAGACAGAGGTGGGGGGCACAGGC